GAAACTACAACGCGGAAGTGCGCTCGACTATGAAAGTCCGAATGACTGCGGACATTCCTCGCGGAGTCCGCTCTGCTTATAGTACGCCCGAGTATGCTTGTGTCGAGCGGGCGGAGGCTTTGATCCCCCCCCCGCTCTCTCACTAAGCAGCCTCCCTCTGTCTCCTCTCACTCAGCCTCGATCTCGTCAGCATGCTCCACACACGCGCTGTCTCCCCCCCATACCTCGCGATTGCATCGTCATTTAAAAAAGACATCGTGAAACAACCTTTCTATCGCGGATGGGCAATCCGATCGCCCATCGGCACAACCCTAGTACACATGTAACTGGCGGACTCTTGTGTTGTCTGTCTTGTGTTAATATGAAGAGGCCCAGACCGTGGACATCTTTGGAGGCAATCTCTGGTGAAATAAAACGACTACTGCACAAGCGCATGGCACAGCACTGGAGAGCCAGCCCCTTAGGACCAGGCTCAGCTGTCCATTTAGATCTAAAGGAGAAGGGACACTCCTTCAAAGACAGCAATGTTCACATCTTGGCCAGAGAAGACAGACGGTTTGAAAGAGGTGTGAAAGAAGACATCTACGTCAAATTGTACCAACCATCATTAAACAGAGGATAAGAAATCGAGAAATAAAAATCCTAGTCGCCTGGTGAGGACAGTTCTGAGGACAGTGATACTGTAAAGGTCAGAGCCAGGGTGGACTGATGGACTGACTGATGGATGCTTCATTGAGGCAGAGCAAGCTTTTAGTCCCAAAATGGCACTGCATTAACACAAAGCAAGTGGCTGTATTGATGTGGGCGAGTTGTGCCAGTGAGATGATGAAATGTGCTCCAGCACGGCCAGTTTGATTAATCAGTTTGCTTATCATATGCCAAAACACAGCACAGCGGTTTGTAAAATATGAATTTCACAACTCTACAAAGTTATGATTATCTCGCATCTGGTGTTAATTTGGTTTATGTGTTTAAAAGACATGAAGCTCTGAAACACTTTTATCCGGTCATGATAGTATAAAGTCTATAGGACAAATGATACATCCTGGTACCAAACGCACATGTTTAATCGGCAGAAATGCGTCTCAGCATTTGTCTCAAACTACATGTAATTAGCTAAGATCTCTCTCACACACTCTCTCAGCTCTTAACCTCCTCATGCTCTCTCATCTTGTTTCCATTTTTCTTTCACCAGACACATTTTGTTCACACAGCTCCCAGGTGATGTCATGGAGACATCACCTGGGAGAAATTACTGGCTTCCTGATTTTCCTCAGAACTCACTGCGTGGGACCGAAAATATTAGATGATTGCAATGAGACTCTGACTGCCTGTCTGTGTGTGTGTGTGTGTGTGTGTGTGTGTTAAAGAGAAATGATTACTCCCAGTCACTTGCAGTTGCCATTTTTTTGAGCTTTATGCTTTCCAGCTTTACAATTAAACGCATCACTTAACATCTCACAACAGCTCAAAAGGCACAGACCAATGACTGTATAAAGAGAACTGGATACTGCGTTGGAGGCGAGGCTCCGTTCATTTCTGTAACACTTTTTTAGACAGGAGTTGTGCAAATTTGCATGAAAGCCCAATCAGTCTTTTTTCAGCATTGGCAGTATAAAAACAAAATCGGGGAGTGCAGCAAAATGCCGCCTACCTACTTTTGTTTATACAGAATGTGCCTTTTTCGGGGCAATGGGGGGCGTGAGCAAGTAACAAAACGTGTAGCTCAGCATGTGACGTAAACAGTGACGTGGGAGGGAAGCCGCGGCTGGTCAGTCCTTCAGTGATTCTCTCGTAAGTCAGCCCGTCCTTCACCGTCCCCGTCATCTGACGGTTAATGGCCTCTTCGTTTGCGAGGACAAGGAGGGCGCACAATTCCTTGTCTCCCCAGTTGCTCATCTTTACAGTGTCTGTCAGATTTGCGTTTCCCTCTTGCTACTAGCTGCTAGCTAATTCCTGCTATCAGCTGTTTCCTGTTTATCCACCGCCAGTGGGTCGCATGTGCGGCGTCATCAACAGCTCCTCCCACAAGTCTTCAACAGCTCCTCCCGTGGTGGAAGGGCGCCACGTTCTTTTTAAACTAAAAGAGTTCCAATCCGGCTCTGTGTGTCTAAATGCTCACAGCTTGCTGGCAAACAGCCCAACATTCACCGAAAATTTGGCAGTGTAAAAGAGGCTTATGAATGTTGCTCAGTGGTGCATGAAGCCAAAAAGTTTGACTTTCCAGGTATAAAATGACCCTGATCTTCCACATAATTGGGCGCATAGAGTAAGTGAGTGGCTAACTTACAGTTAAGTGCTCCGCTAACTTGAATGGGGATAAAATAATGAAATCATGCGGCTCTTCTTTCCATCCATTCATCCAATCATTTTCATCCACTTATAGGGCCAGGTCACGGGGGCAGCAGGTTGAGCAAAGTACTCCAGACATCCCTCTCCCCAGTGATGCTTTCAGCTCCTCCTGGGGCATCCCAAGGCGTTCCCAGGCCAGATGAGATATATAATCCCTCCAGCGTGTTCTGGGTGTGCCCCGGAGCTTCCTACCTGTTGGATGTGCCCAGAAAACCTTTAAAGGGAGGCCAAGGAGGCATCCTAATCAAATGCCCTATGCTCCTCTAGACTTTTAAAATGTTATTGGACCAAATGGATCAAATTCTGATTGTGAAGCAAGTCATTTCATGGGGGTTGTGACTCTCAGAAACATTTATCCACTGATTCACAGAGATCTCTTTCACTATATAAGTCAATGGGAAAAAGTCTTTTGGGGCCCAAGGCATCATGTGACATTTCATGGAGTGCTTTTAATGTAAAAAAAACCCAAAAAGTCAGCAGGATGTATTAAGCTCAGTTCAGAACAAACATTCACAATGAGACAAAACTATTTCAGAACGTTGCAGCGAAAAGATGCAGCGGTGTGAACTGGCTGCTGTGCAGCGGCTGGTTTTAAAGCACGTCACCTGTTTCTACAGCCAATCGGTTTGTAGTGAAGTCTGCTGGTCAAGTCAGAATGACCGCAGATGGCATATTCGCTTGCTGTAGCAGCGAGGATTTTTGAAATGTGCAAATGTAAGGTATTTGCGATTTGCAGAAAGGTGCAATCCAAAATTTTCTTTGGCAACTGGGCCTCGTACTGAAGGGATTAGTGCTTTAGAAATGTACATTGTACAGAATTTAACCTGCGAGCGGTGAGACGACGGGTGAATCCAACTGCTTCTATGAGTTTTACCTGGCCTTTATTTGTGTGTCACAGAGAGAATTTAAGTATTATACAGCACCAGGACAAGAAATAGAGGTCTCAGCAGCAAGACAAGTGACTCTAACACACACACACACACACACACACACACACACATACACACTGTCGTGACTGCCATCCCCTCTCAGTTGACCTCACCTTGTTGAACCTGCAGAATACTTATCAATACTCTCCTCCCATCACATTTATCAATACTCCTTGTCGCCTGATAACATCATCAGATTCACTGATCGATACCCGCTACTGTTGTATCAAATTATAGCTCTCTGTTATCAATACCCAGGAGTGTGTGTATTCAATTAGAAAGAAGGGCGGATCAATAGCCAGCAGCTACTGAAGCCAATCTTGGACCCTTATCAATGCCAGCTGCCGGCCTGACAAATGATAACGCACACAGATCAATAGGTTGGGCCAAAGATAACGTCGTCTCACCCGGGTGTTACCGGCAGACAGAGGTGCAGGCTGAGAAACTGTAATGTTCCAGTTTTCAATGAAACAAAAGTTGTTTAATTTATTCGCAGAAATAAAGAAACTAATGTCCAAATAATACATTTACTGTCCTCTAATATATAGAAATAGCATGTTTATATGTGTGTTGGCATTTAATCAGTCGTGTCTTAGTAATTTGAGATTTTTTTTGAGAAAACAGTTTTTAGTTTTTATGTCTTTTATATCATTGTAGGGCTAAACAGGTGATACTCAACTTATGGTTGTTATTCACAATGACACTAAATTGAATCACACTGGGGATTTTTTTTTTTTTCGTACTTTTGATTAACTTTAAGTTGCCTGTATAGTCTGTGAGCCAGTAGGGTTGGTCGGTGAATAAATCTCATAGTGATTTTTAGCAAAGTATACATCTCTAGTGTTAGAAAAAATGTGATAGCCTTGAGCCGGTGGTAGCTTTCTGTGTGCTATCTCTTGATTTCTAACCCCATAGGAAAACTAAAGAAGAACTCAAAAAAAGCCTGGCCGAATGGAGGTTAAGTCATATAAATCCATGTAAACTGACGATGCAAGCTCTGAGAGCTACCATGCCTGACAGCAGGACATGCCTCTACTTAATAGAAAAACAACAGAATGCAAATATCTCAATGCAAATAGGAGATACAGACTTATAAACACGTACCTAAAATAGGCGGGAATGTAAACGATGGGTCTCTATGTAGAATGCTCTCAATTACTTTGCATTATCTCTGCCATGGATTGTCCAAATACTCTTAACCAGAGCCTGCTTAATCAGTCAGACATGAGCTGGTTTGAAAGCTAAAATCAAGTCACAGATAACAAATATTGATAATAGAAGACCAAAAAAAATGATCTATCTTTCTTGTAAAGATTTTTTTTAAATGAAACCCCAGCTGCTACAGGTCAGCTGTCCCCATTTTGGTCTCCAACCCACAGGAATGAAAACATCTCAGCCCTGGTTTGTACAGTTAATAGCTGAACTTAAAATAGAAACGGGCATGACAGAGCTCCACCCCTTACCTGTCTCACTGAGTCTAACCAGGAGATTCAGGTTATTACAAGTTATTCACTGAGACAGAGAGACAGAAAGATTTACCATCCGATTAAAGCCACAACACTGACGGAGAAAAAGCAGGAGAAGGAATATTCCAAGCAGTGGATGGGATTTTATAAAGCACTCATCTGAAGGAGAAAGTGCTCTAAATTGGAGGGAGCACACTGACTGTCACTTTTACCTGTGTGCCAGCCGTGTTTTTCGACTTCACTCTGAGAGGAAATGTCTTCACGATCTGAACAGGATTTCTGCTGTCCTGTATGCCATGATATCTTTAGAGATCCTGTTGTCCTGACATGCAGCCACAGCTTCTGTAAAGACTGTCTGCAGAACTGGTGGACAGAGAGACCAGCACAGGAGTGTCCAGTTTGTAAGAAAATTTCATTGAAGAACGATCCACCTAGAAACTTGGATTTAAAGAACCTGTGTGAGGCCATCTTACTGGAGAGAGAACAGAGAGCTGAGGAGACTATATGCAATCTGCACTCTGAGAAACTCAAACTCTTCTGTCTGGATCACTGCCAGCCGGTGTGCGTCATCTGTCGGGATTCAAAAACACATGCTGATGACAAAGTCATACCCATCAATGAAGCTGCACAGGATCACAAAGAGGAGCTGCAGAAAACTCTGAAGACCTTACAGGAGAAACTGAAGCTGTATGAACAAGTTAAAGGAAACTGTGACCAAACAGCAGAGCACATTAAGGTCCAGGCCCGACACACAGAGGCGCAGATTAAGGAGCAGTTTAAGAAGCTTCACCAGTTTCTACAAGAGGAAGAGGAGGCCAGGATCTCTACTCTGAGGGATGAAGAGAGGCAGAAGAGTCGGATGATGAAGGAGAAGATTGAGGCTCTGTGCAGAGAGATAGCAGCTCTTTCAGACACAATCAGAGCCACAGAGGAGGAGCTGAGAGCTGAAGACATCTCATTCCTGCAGAACTACAAGGCTGCAGTGGACAGAGTCCAGCAGCGCCCCCTGATGGATGATCCACAGCTGCCCTCAGGAGCTCTGATAGAAAAGGCCAAACATCTGGGCAACCTGACCTTCAACATCTGGAACAAGATGAAGAAAATGGTCTCCTACACTCCTGTGATTCTGGATCCAAACACTGCTCATCCAAATCTCATCCTGACTGAAGATCTGACCAGTGTGAGATATGGAGAGAAACAGAAGCTTCCTGATAATCCAGATAGGTTTGATTATTACTACTCTGTCCTGGGCTCTGAGGGCTTTAACTCAGGGACTCACAGCTGGGATGTTGAGGTTGGAGACAGTCCGATCTGGGTTGTGGGTGTAGCAGCAGAATCTGTGCAAAGACAGACAGACACAGCTTTACAATCTGGATTATGGAGAATGCTGTTTTGTAACAATGAATACTCAGCGTGCTCACTACCAGGTGCTAACACTGTTCTTTCAGTGAAGAAGAAGCTCCAGAAGATCAGAGTTAAACTGAACTGGGAAAGAGGACAACTGTCTTTCTCTGATGCTGATACTGAAACACACATACACACCTTCACACACACTTTCACTGAGAAGCTGTTTCCATACTTTAACACTAACCAAAAGTTGCCACTGAAGATATTACCAGTGAATGACTCTGCAGAAAGCAAAGTGTACAGTAGTTGGTGGCCTCTCAGTTATTTTGGACTTAAATAATACCAGGTTTAGGATCCAGTGCTCAGTTTTCCTCTCCAGAGAACCTGGATGGAGTTCTGTTTATTTTGACAAAAAAGTGGACTCAATTGGCTGCATTCACTAATATGTGCGTAGAGACGTTCTTACTTTGCGCATAAAATAAGTGCGGTGAATCAGAATCATTCTAAACCAATTAATAAGTCAGCTGCAAATGAACGTATGCGCAGTATCCCTAGCGGATTTTATTTTTACTAATAATTGATGAGGATGAAAGGGTATCAATACATTTGACCAATACATTGGTTAATTAATGGTTCTAAATACTGTATAATAAAGCCTTGTTAAGTAATTACGGTTTTGATTAGGGATGCACAATAATACTGGCACATCATCAGTATCAGCTGATATTTCCTTTAAAATTCGGAATCGAAATTGGCCAACATGCTTTTTCTTTATTTCTTTCTACTGCAGAAGAGACTTGATGATCACTAAGTTAGGTGGGGGAAAAAGTGGATACATCGACATTGATTATCTGCAAAAGTTCCAATGCAATCATGCATTTCCTCGTTTTGATATGTTGTGCATTTATTAAGAGGTGTGTGTTTGTATTTTCGGAGACAGTCTGGCCTTTGTGGCTTGTGGGTATGCACAGTCTGACGCAGTTCTAAATTTGTTCCCAAAGTACGAATAAATTCAGGTGAGAAAATATCGATGAATGCCAGATTTCTACTGAAACATTCGTACACACAGGTTAAGCACAGATTTGTCTGTACGCAGTGTTTGTGAATGAGGCCCAGTGTCACTAATGGATATGTGTTGTATAAAGCTGACTTATAATGTCCATAGATTGAGACCCAATAATGTATGTTAAAACTCTGTGTATACACCAAGTATATTGTGTCTTTAAAATGTAACTATGTATAATTGATAAATTCTAGTTTTGAATCTCAATGAATATTTTCTGTGTATTGTATGCCACTGTGTGCTACAGGGATTTTTTGTAAGCTAACGTGTAAGTTAGCGTCGCTTTGGTTCCTGCAGTAAAAATGGGACTGGGATTTTTGAATGGGATTTTTCTGTTGGATTTTGGATCATTGCAGAAAATAACATCTGTGGCAAACGCAAACATTTAGGACACAATTTGTTCAGCAAGATAATCTTCACAAATTAACTCCACTTTTATGCTCTTTGAAGCGTAAATACATCCACCAAAGGTAAAAAAGCTAAAGCTAGGCTACAAACGAACCACACCACAGTCGCATAACTTAACATCATCCCCACAGCAAGGCTGCAAAGCTGCGTTAAGCATGACAACGTTCTGTAGTCGCATTTAGCCACTTGTTAGCAACTGCCTTTTTAAAGACATCTTCAGCTTTAAAATTCATGTGTGGGGTATTTACTGATGTATTTTATGTTGTAAAACAAAACATTAAAGTCTCTTAAGCTTGTGTCAACCACAGAACTTATTTCAGGCATTTAAGGAAAAATCCCATTCAAAAGACCCATTGACTTTGAGATGAGGGAACTAGGAGTGCAAAAATGCTAACATGATTGAGCACTCTATAGTCTTTTGGATATTTTAGCACTTTAAAACTATCAATAAGAAGAATAAAAACCCACCTACAATGGATACTGCACACTTTGACATTATTTAGCTTGGTAGGTTCCTTATACTCTATATTACTTAGTTCATTTGCAGAACAAATACTGTTAGTATCTTGTTTCTTCATCTTGGGTTGTGTGAACATGGTTTCAGTTTACATTGTATCACTTACTGTGAAATCTTTGATGCATTAAATGTGATACTAATCTAAAAAATGTAGATCTTGCAGTTTGTCCTGAGTAACCAGTCATCACACCCAGGCTGGCATTAAACTATCATCACTTCATTGAACTCTTTGTCCTGAACCAGTAACAGTAAAGGTACAGAGAATTTTTCATAGCTGTGTGGATTATAAGTGAATCGAAAGTCAACATTCAGTCCTTAAGACTTAAATTATTAGCATGATGTCTCAACAACTGATTGAATACATTTGCTGTGGATATTCATGTTCCCCAAATGATGACCCCTTTTGATTGTAAAGATCCCAAGACCTTCCCTTAAGTACCACCTCCAGGCCAAACTTTGTCATCTTCGATATTAAACAATGAAAACATGGCGGACACATAGTCGTAGGATTTATGGAGCATTTTCATGATCCCCAGAGGATGAACCTTTTCCACTGTGGAGCCTAAATGGCTTGCCCTCTTGCACCACTGTCAGGCCAGAATATTCACAAACACTATGATGATCAAACTGGCCCATTGCCATGATCAATTGCTCAGTACATTCATGCCACTCAGAGGATAAACCCTTTTGATTTCAATGACCCCATAATGTTTGCTGAAGCACTACCCTCCAGAGAAGCTTTACATTTTTAGCTCCATTCATTTTAGAGGATTGCTTCAAAGAGTCTGTGTTAACTCATAAAAATAATATAGGTTTAAAAAAAGTTTATGAACATGTTACATTAATTTCGGTGCCCGTGTTTCGCGATTAGGCTGTTCACAGTCTCACACACACTCACACAGACAGAAAAATTGAGGTATAATGGACTTATGGGGGCATTCTGAGAACACTGAGACACTGTCCTCACAAATCAGTGGTGTCCTCATAAGGTCGGTGCAATTACCAGTGAAATGTCCTCATATGCAGCTCACACCAACGCACACACACACAAGCAGACAAAGACAGGGATCTACATGTGATTTAATTAGAGCAGAGAGCAGAATCAATTCTGGTGTGAACGGCCAGGCGACTGCTGACGAGCGTACTCTACAGCTGTATCATGAGAGCTGTGGCTTTATCTTTACATTTGGCAGGTGTAAGCATAAAGTTTTAAAACAAATTACCTGCAGATATCTTTGTTATAATACTTAGAATCAACATGATCTGTAAGTCAACACTTTGCCCGGTATCTTGTCCTCCAGTCACCTCAACTTTTATTCCCTCATGGAGTGCTCAGCCTGACTCACCGCCCTCTCCCTGATCACACACTAAAGCAGACTACCGTTGGGCAGTTGCAAGCTTTTGAGTATAGTTTCATATATTCATGTACACTTGTAGTTAGAGTTAATCCTCCTTACCACTTTGTTCTACTCTAACCAGCTGTCTCCTTAACTTCTTCCAGGCCTCCTCCACTGAAACTCCATTGTCTCCTCACCCTCCAATGCTCCACCCTCACTGTCTCTGGACTCCTTCCTTCCACTGTCCCACCATCCCAGACCCAAACCCTTTTCAGAACCACCAGTCCCTCAGTATGTCACCCTGGATCACATTGTTCTCTCAGACAGATCTCCCCCAATGATTTCAACCTCTCTCGGAAGCTCCATATTGGACATATTGTACAACGTATAGCACCCTCTACATTAGGATTCACAATTTTATTATTAAAATCCAGGTGATTACATGTGCCTTAGTGTTTTTATTGATGTTTCCAACATAAACAACAGGCCAGTAATTGTTAAATAATACCATAAGGGATCTCTACAAATCAACTGAACTCAAAAGCTACCGTTTTGTTTTCTTTCATTTGGGACACCTCATATGTTTAGTGGACTGACTCCCTGAATATGCAAGCTGTCTTTACAGTTTTGGTATCGCTGGATTCAGTACAAACACATGTTTCCAACAAGCCCTCATATGTGTTGCTATGACAGTTCATGACAGAGATAATGCAAAGTAAATGAGAGCATTCTACATAGAGACCCATCTTACATTTCCTGAGGCCATTGCAGCAGAAACTGAAGCTGTTTGAACAAGTTAAAGGAAACTGTGACCAAACGGCAGAGCACATTAAGGTCCAGGCCCGACACACAGAGAGGCTGATTAAGGAGCAGTTTAAGAAGCTTCACCAGTTTCTACAAGAGGAAGAGGAGGTCAGGATCTTTGCTCTGAAGGATGAAGAGTGGCGGAAGAGTCGGATGATGAAGGAGAAGATTGAAGCTCTGAGCAGAGAGATAGCAGCTCTTTCAGACACAGTCAGAGCCACAGAGGAGGAGCTGAGAGCTGAAGACATCTCATTCCTGCAGAACTACAAGACTGCAGTGGAAAGAGTCCAGCAGCGCCCCCTGATGGATGATCCACAGCTGAACTCAGGAGCTCTGATAGATGAGGCCAAACATCTGGGCAACCTGACCTTCAACATCTGGAACAAGATGAAAGACATGGTCTCCTACACTCCTCTGATTCTGGATCTAAACACTGCTTATCCAGAACTCATCCTGTCTGAAGATCTGACCAGTGTGAGATGTGGAGTGAGACAGAAGCTTCCTGAAAATCCAGAGAGGTTTGATTACTACTCTGTCCTGGGCTCTGAGGGCTTTAACTCAGGGACTCTGGGAAGTTGAGGTTGGAGACAGTACGGCCTGGATTCTGGGTGTAGCAGCAGAATCTGTGCAAAGACAGGGAGTCGCATCTTTTCAATCTGGATTATGGAGAATAGTGTTTCATAAAGATGAATACTCAGCGTGCTCAATACCAAGTGTAAACACTGTTCTTTCAGTGAAGAAGAAGCTCCAGAAGATCAGAGTTCAACTGGACTGGGATGAAGAAGAGCTGTCATTCTCTGATGCTGATACTGACACACACATACACACCTTCACACACACTTTTACTGAGAAGCTGTTTCCATACTTTAACACTAACCAAGAATTGCCACTGAAGATATTACCAGTGAATGACTCTGCAGAAAGCAAAGTATCCAGTAGCTGGTGGCCTTTCAATTAATGTGGGTTTGAGTTAAGAATGATCAATTTTCCTCTTCAGAGTGTTTAATTTTGACAAGGACGTGGACTCAATTGGCCTCATTCACTAATATGTGTGTAGAAAACACTGTCAATTTTTACAGCTTTAGATTTAGTCTTATTCTTGAAACAAAAATGCTCATTAGTTTTAGTCACATTTTAGTCATTGTTGTCCTTCATAGTTTTTGTCAACAAAAACTCATGACATTTTAGTCATTACTTTTAGTCAATATGTTTTCTATATGTTTATTTTGTATCTTTAAACTAATTCAGATAGGCTAATCTGTGTATCAGAAATTAGAATAATACAAATACAAATCATTTCTGCACACTTCCAAATTTTCATTTCTCTAGCAATGTTGGCATCTCTATATGAATGCTCTCAGAAACTTTGACGCCACAGATAACTAATCTGAGACAACTAGGATTTGTTCCCAGGTCCATTGTAAACTCTGACTTATCCATCTGACTGTTAAGAAGCAGAGAAATTATTTCTGTAACATGTTGGTCTGGAGGTTTGAAAAGAATTTCATGTGTCCATCTGTTGGTGGGCCATCATGATAAGAGTATGCTTGCATAATATGATGTTAATTCTAATACAGAAGAGACCTGATGATCACTAAGTTAGGTGGGGGAAAATCCAATATCATGCATCCCTAGTTTTGATATGTTGTGCAATTGACCTATGGCTAAGCCACGCCCCCTACACTCACCAGGACAAACCATCAACATTCAGTGACCGGCGCTATGGCAGGTGTCACAGTACACGGCATTTCACAGGAGGCAGTTGATGATTTTTGGGGAAATAACAATAAGATGTCATTGAGAAGTAACCAAAAGGGCCTAAACTACGCATTGGAGGGATATATTCATCATTTTATTGTTGAGAAGGTCGATGAAAAACTTAAATTACAAGCCAAAATTTACAGGTCACAGTGTACGCTTGTGAACCGCATCTCGTTGCCGTCACCATCAAAGACAACAAGTTAAAGTGCCACTGAAGTTAAGGTTTTTGGCTCAGAATATGAGAAAAGGATAACGGCCTTTTTATCGTTTGTGCGTATGCACAGTCTGAGGCAATTCTAAATTTGTTCCCAGAGTATGAACAAATTCAGGTGAGAAAATATCGATGAATACCAGATTTCTACTGAAACATTCGTACACACGGGTTAAGCACAGATCTGTCCGTACGCAGTGTTTGTGAATGAGGCCCAGTGTCACTAATGGATTTGTGCTGCATATAGCTGACTTACAATGTCCGTAAACTACTATGCATTATTTTTTTGTGTAAATGTTGTCATGTTTAACTTACACAGTTTCCATTCATGCTGTTAGTAAATGTAAAGAGGGCCTGTGCCATAGATCATGTTCTATTACTAAATCACTGAGAACGACTGAGACCCAATAATGTATGTTAAAACTCTGTGTATACACCAAGTATATTGTCTCTTTAAAATGTCACTATGTACGATTGATAAATTCTAGTTCTGAATCTGAATGAATATTTTCTGTGTATTGTATGCCACTGTGTGTTACAGGGATTTTTTTGTAAGCTAACATGTAAGTTAGCGTCACTTTGGTTCCTGCAGTAAAAATGGGACTGCAATTTTTGAATTGGATTTTTCTGTTGGGTTTTGGATCATTGCAGAAAATAAGATCTGTGGCAAATGCAAAAGTTAAGGACACTTACATGATTTGTTCAGCAAGATAATCTTCACGAATTAACTCCACTTTTATGCTCTTTGAAGCGTAAATGCATCCGCCAGAAGTAAAAAAGCTAACGCTAGGCTATGAACGAACCACACCATAGTCACATAACTTAACGTCATCCCCACAGCAAGGCTGCAAAGCCGCATTAAGCATGACAACGTTCTGTAGTCTCCTTTAGCCACTTGTTAGCAACTGCCTTTTTTAAGACATTGTCAGCTTTAAAATTCGTGTGTAGGGTATTTACTGATGTATTTTATGTTGTAAATCAAAACATTAAAGTCTCTTAAGCTTGTGTCAACCACAGAACTTATTTCAGGCAATTAAGGAAAAATCCCATTCAAAAGACCCATTGACTTTGAGATGAGGGAACCAGGAGTGCAAAAATGCTAACTTGATTGAGCACTCTATAGTCTTTTGGATATTTTAGCACTTTAAAACTATCAATAAGAAGAATAAAAACCCACCTACAATGGATACTGCACACTTTGACATTATTTAGCTTGGTAGGTTCCTTATACTCTATATTACTTAGTTCATTTGCAGAACAAATACTGTTAGTATCTTGTTTCTTCATCTTGGGTTGTGTGAACATGGTTTCAGTTTACATTGTATCACTTACTGTGAAATCTTTGATGCATTAAATGTGATCCTAATCTAAAAAATGTAGATCTTGCAGTTTGTCCTGAGTAACCAGTCATCACACCCAGGCTGGCATTAAACTCTCATCACTTCATTGAACTCTTTGTCCTGAACCAGTAACAGTAAAGGTACAGAGTATTTTTCATAGCTGTGTGGATTATAAGTGAATCGGAAGTCAATACTCAGTCCTTATGACTTAAATTATGAGCATGATATCTCAACAACTCATTGTCAGATTGAATACATTTGCTGTGGATATTCATGTTCCCCAAATGATGACCCCTTTGTTTGCTGAAGCACTACCCTCCAGAGAAGCTTTACATTTTTAGCTCCATTCATTTTAGAGGATTGCTTCAAAGAGTCTGTGTTAACTCATAAAAATAATATAGGTTTAAAAAAAGTTTATGAACATGTTACATTAATTTCGGTGCCCGTGTTTCGCGATTAGGCTGTTCACAGTCTCACACACACTCACATAGACCAAAAAATTCAGGTATAATGGACTTACGGGGCATTCTGAGGGGCAAAGACTTTGTTACTACTTGATAAGTGCTTCTACAGTGTTTAACTTGTGAGGACATGGACACTGTCCTCACAAATCAGTGGTGTCCTCATAAGGTCAGTGCAATTACCAGTGAAATGTCCTCATATGCAGCTCACACCAACGCACACACACACAAGCAGACAGAGACAGGGATCTACATGTGATTTAATCATAGCAGAGTGTAGAATCAATTCTGGTGTGAACAGCCAGGCGACTGCTGACGAGCTGTTACAACCCAGTATGTGTCTAGGGGTAAGGGAAGCAACATAAAACCAAACAATGAAGTGAATAAGGCAAGCTGCCGTTTATTCATTCACAAAATAAACAATACAAGCTACGCTTTATAAAAAAAGCGGTACAGAACAGAAAAACATGCTCGCAGGCTCTGTAACACAACCCAGAAATTGGGCTTCACGAAAGGAGCCTCGGCGGTAAATCACATTTAAACAAATTCAGGGAAGGGCAGCGGGTGACGGCAAACCATAAAACAATTAAAACAAAACTCTGACCTGTCACCAACAAAATAAACACCCCAACTAACTTAACTAACGGTGGTGGAAGGCCACCCAGAATAACAAAACTTAAACAAATCTGTCTGTCTGCTCTATGACTTACCTCACAAACAAAACAACACTCAAACCGACACCCATAAAGCTAGTGTACCATACATCAAACAATCTACGTGTGTGTGCAAAGGAGATGTGGCTAGGCTACAAAGCTAAATCCTAAAGCCCATATATTCCCAAATACAACAACAACAACAACAAACAGATTATAGCAGCTGAAAACACAAACGGAGCGAGGCGGACTGCTCAGGTTAAATCACAGCCGCGATTGCTCTTGACTTCGTGCAGCCTTTAAAGGTTCGGACGAGGGGCCGGTGCAGCGGTGACTGGCCGGAACCGATGACGACAGCGAGGGGGCTGGCCGACCAGCAAGCGAGGAAACACTGAACAGCAGCAGAGGAGAGCGAGCTGGAGGCGTGGTCCGCCAGGGATTCCCTCCAGAAGAGCAGACAGTTAGACACACACATAAATGATTGACAAGTGCTGGCCGAATAATTCCCATAATGACATCCACAGCACATTAAACACAGAAAATAAATGTACTAAGGTCCAGAGACCGTAACACGAGTGTACTCTACAGCTGTATCATGAGAGCAGTGGCTTTATCTTTACATTTGGCAGGTGTAAGCATAAAGTTTTAAAACAAATTACTTGCAAATATCTTTGTTATAATACTTAAAATCAACATGATCTGTAAGTTAACACTTTCCCCACCACTGATGAGATATTCCGTCATTTATGACAGAATGTTTCACGCCATTGTCGAGTTATTCCAGTAATCCATGTTTTCACTGCTATAAGAGAGGAGGCGCTGTTACACATGTGAAATAAAACTGCACTGCTATATCCAAAAACAAACAATGAACAAGAGCCGCTGGAAACCAAAAGATGTTGTTTACTGAAATGCAGCAGCTTGTAAACTGCACGAAAATGCCGGTGCAGACAGAGAAGTTTATGGTTGCGCAAGCCGTAGAGATGTTGATGGATTCAGACTCCGACACTTCCTGTTTTGATCAACATACTGAATCCAATTTGGACGAAGAGGCAAATGAGTTTGGTGGGAAGAAATGGGATCATCATGATGGTGACAGTGACGACAACCACAGAGGAGACGGAGACAACAGAACACTGAACAATCACTGAATGTATCATTATTATTTTCATTTATACAATTCAAACTGATGAAGGGAAATTAGAAAAACAAAACATGTATGTGTGAAATTAATTTTGTGCAAAATGGGGGTTTTTTTATGAAAATTCACAAATTCAAGTGTTGATTAAAAAGGAATGGAATAAGATAGAATAAAATATTGTTTGTGTTTAAAAGCAGAAGGTCTCTTCTTTAGTTTCATATTCATCGGTCAAATTATTCAAATTATACAAATTCTGTGGGTCTTGAAAGATTAGTGAATACGATCAAAAATGCTGGTGGCTGCCAACTTAAAAATAATACTCTGGCAGGGAAAGTGTTAATTGGGCTGGCAGAACTTGTTTCAGTCTATGACAGCCACTAAAAACTAGAGGCAATTCAGTCCTGGAACAAAAGGGCAGAACAAAAGCTCCACCCCTTACCTGACTCACCTGAGCTGAGACATAACAAGAAAGGCTGCTGTTCTGACACAGACACTGAGAGCCGATAGATCCACAGCAAAGCCAGGACGTCAGCTGGGGAAAAAGCAGCTACAGGAAATAATACTGGAAGTATAGTGAGTATTGGAATACTGGAGAAGTGGATGATAGCTAAAAAGGAAAAAAATTTAGCAGTAGAAGTACTTGACTGACTGACTGACTGAAGTTTTATCTGTGTACCTGCTGTCTTTCTATTTTCACTCAGAGACAGAATGGCGTCCCCATTAGAGGAGGATCTCTGCTGTCCTGTCTGTCAGGACATATTTAATGATCCTGTTGTCCTGTCATGCAGCCACAGCTTCTGTAAAGGCTGTCTGCAGAACTGGTGGAGAGGGAAAACAATACAGAAGTGTCCAATTTGTGAGAAAACACCTTTTCCCGATCCACCTTATAACTTGGCATTAAAGAACCTGTGTGAGACCTTCTTACTGCAGAGAGATCAGGGCGCTTTAGCAGAGTTGGAAACTGTCTGCAGTCTGCACTCTGAGAAACTCAAACTCTTCTGCCTGGACCATCAGCAGCCAGTGTGTATCATCTGCAAAGATTCAAAAACACACAACAACCACAGTTTCAGACCCATCGATGAAGCTGCACAGGATCACAAAGAGGAACTGCAGAAATCCCTGAAGACCTTACAGGAGAAGCTGAAGCTGTTTGAACAAGTTAAAGGAAACTGTGATCAAACAGCAGAGCACATTAAGGTCCAGGCCCGACACACAGAGAGGCTGATTAAGGAGCAGTTTAAGAAGCTTCACCAGTTTCTACAAGGGGAAGAGGAGGTCAGGATCTTTGCTCTGAAGGATGAAGAGTGGCGGAAGAGTCGGATGATAAGGGAGAAGATTGAGGCTCTGAGCAGAGAGATAGCAGCTCTTTCAGACACAATCAGAGCCACAGAGGAGGAGCTGAGAGCTGAAGACGTCTCATTCCTGCAGAACTACAAGGCTGCAGTGGACAGAGTCCAGCAGCGCCCCCTGCTGGATGATCCACAGCTGGTCTCAGGAGCTCTGATAGACGAGGCCAAACATCTGGGCAACCTGACCTTCAACATCTGGAAGAAGATGAAGAAGATGGTCTCCTACACTCCTGTGATTCTGGATCCAAACACTGCTCATCCAGAACTCATCCTGACTGAAGATCTGACCAGTGTGAGATGTGGAGAGAAACAGAAGCTTCCTGATAATCCAGAGAGGTTTGATTCCTTCATCTCTGTCCTGGGCTCCGAGGGCTTTAACTCAGGGACTCACAGCTGGGACATTGAGGTTGGCTACAGTCCGGTCTGGGCAGTGGGAGTATCAGCGGAGTCTGTCCTGAGTAACAAAGACAAACAGTCTGGATTATTCAGAGTTGTGTTCTGTGATGGTGAGTACACAGCAGACCCAGATCCAGATTCCTCCGCTGCTCTTTCAGTGAAGAAGCAGCCACAGTGGATCAGAGTTCATCTGGACTGGAAGAGAGGAAAACTGTCATTCTCTGATCCTGTTACTGATACAGACATACACACTTTCACACACACTTTCACTGAGAAGCTGTTTCCATACTTTAACATTGTAAATGCACACCCACTGAGGATATCACACATTCCTGTCTCTGTAGTCATACAGTGACAAACACGTTTCACATCTTTTGATCCTATCAGTACCTGTATCAGTTTGGACATGGCTTCATTTTGCCTCACTTCACTCAGCACAGCATATCTGATGCACTGTACGTGATCTAAATCTAAAAATGTAGAGTTGGCAGTTTGTCCTGTGGATCCACTCACCAAACACTGGCATGAAACCCTTGTGCTGCTGCTGGAATTTTTTACCTTTATCCAACCAATGGGAAGTTACAATATACTCTCTCTGTCTAAAGGCCTTTGAACACCGAAGACCGAATATCTTCTCCTATTGCTTCATTAAAGAACACGCAGGACTGAGCTCACACATAGCACACTGGAGAGTAGGACGAGCCTCGAGCCCGACAACACCAAGTGCATGTTTTCTGTATGCATTTTTTAAATCCATCATTTGAGTAAAAAAAAGTTTTTGCACGGAAACCTTGCAGACTTGCATTTTATTCGTCCATTCATTGCAAAAACATGCAATATGAGACATAATGTGGACATGTTTGCTCCCTTGCTTCTCTCCACTTGAGTTGCCTCCCTGGTTGTTGCCACTCTCTTAGCTGTGTCTGGCATTTTGCACTGTGGCTAAGCCCCGCCCTCAAATGTGATGAGCCAATCACAGTGCGTATAGCCATTCCCATACACTCGGACATTCTCTGCCTATACGTCCATTGAAATGCATTACAGAAAGTCAGTTTTGTTCGGTTTTATGAGCTTTTTCTGAGATTTGAAGTTTTAAAATGGTCAAACGGTGTGCATGGGGTACATGCAACTCCGACACAAGGTATCCTGAGAGGCTGGGCGACGAGGTGTATTTTTTACACTTTAAACCACATCTCAACCGAGAAAAGTGTCTCCTTTGGATAAAGTTGTGTGGTAACGTTAGACCACAACATCAACTCAACATGAATAAGATTAACAATGATGTCTACATCTGTTCTAAGGTAAGTCAACATTGTGTTTGAGGCAACATATTGTCACTTTGCTGGAAAGAAATATAAAGTTATCTTTAACATCTCTAGCTAACGTTAGCTAAAGTTAGCCTAACGTTAGCTCCTAGCTGCGTTGTTCATCATGTCACCTTGTTTGCTGGGAGTTCATTAGCCGGTTTTGTTCTAGTTTTGTACTTTGGTGATCGTACATCATTGTTAGCTGTTGTCCAAAGGGCTCTAGTTAAGCTAACATTAACTTCTGGAGCTTAGCTTCATTAACTTATCTGTAATGGCAGAGATAACAAAGGTTGGCAAACGTTATGCTGAATGATTCAGTGTAAATACTGTAGCACCAAACTAACGGAGAGACACTCTTGGTAAAGATGGTAAAAAGGCCGTTATCCTTTTCTCATATTCTGAGCCAAAAACCTTAACTTCAGTGGCACTTTAACTTGTTGTCTTTGATGGTGACGGCAACGAGATGCGGTTCACAAGCGTACACTGTAACCTGTAAATTTTGGCTTGTAATTTAAGCTTTTCATCGACCTTCTCAACAATAAAATGATGAATATATCCCTCCAATGCGTAGTTTAGGCCCTTTTGTTTACTTCAATGACATCTGATCGTTATGTCCTCAAAAATCATCAACTGCCTCCTGCGAAATGTCGTGTACTGTGACACCTGCCATAGCGCCGGTCACTGAATGTTGATGGTTTGTCTGAGTGAGTGGAGGGGGGCGTGGCTTAGCCATAGGTCAATTGATCAGAAAGTCCAATTGTTCAGTTTAATCTGGACCAACATCACCTTTTTGTTGTACAAAGGTTTGGCTGTTTGGTCTGGACTGTGGTACAGAGAAGGTTACACACCTGTAACTTTGGTACGGCTCAGACTGAACAGTTCAGACCAAACAAGGTAGGTGTGAAAGGGTCCTTAGTGCAGAGTCCTGCAAAGGTCTATTTTTTAAAACCCAACCCACCCATACCTATAAAGCTCAGTACCAGAACCGAACCGTTACCAGAAATTATGTCTAAGTCAAGGCCACATCTGCCTGCACTTGTTAATAAAGGTCCCGCAACCCAACCGCACCCATGATTCAACACACACAGGCTACAGTCACTAACATTAAGCCGGGTTCTCTGCTCTTGAATTACAAATCCAGCAGAGGAGACGTCTCTTCCACTGGATGGTGAAAACACTCAATCACTGCCAGGTTAGGAAACATTTTAGCATGCTCCTTTCACCACCATCAAACCTCAAAACCTCAACCTCCTTGGGTGTCTTCAACTCGATTTATTATCCTCGGGCTGCAAAGTTTCATGGCTGGAGTCCTCCATGTCAGTGACATGTGACAAGGGGTCAAAGGTTTGACTCGTGTTGCTGACTTTCAAAATAAAAGGAAGTGCGGCTTGATAATAGTGATTTAGATGTCAAAGTATTACACATATACTGCACATCTTTTTCATTTATTTTATTCTGAAAATTAAAAAAAATATTTTTGTTCTCCCCATGTGTCGTTCATTTTTACCAGTGCCCGTAACCGTGAATTTACATATTTTTACCCGTTATACAGCTTTTCGTGGGTCCCTCACCCGGTGCATGACTCTGCCTTAGAGGTTTTCCATTAAGGTGACTGAACATAGTGACCACTTACTAAATGGATTTTGTGGTGAGGTTGTTTTTTTCATCTTCTAGGGTCAAGAATGACCTTTCATTCACAAAAACTCCTATAACACTGTAGAAAATGAAAACTTAAACATCTTCAATTTAATAAATGGGCCTTGTGCTGTGAATGCTTTATTAACAAGCAGCCACAGTTTCTGGTTTACTTGCGTCAGTTATGTATATAATAAGCAGCTAATTTTAAGTCTTTGTAAACAAGTGTTTGTGGGTTTTTTCTTCTAATACCTCCATTTCACATACTTCAAGGGCACTGGTGTTCTTCCCCATGCTTGTAAACCGCTGATATGACACTTTTCTAGGACTGTGCTGAACTCCTGTCTGAATGAATTATGAACAATTTACTAAAGTGATTAACTTGGTTAGTTTGACAGACTGTGTAGAATTAATTTTCCTTCCATTATGCTGGGACCCAGAAGTAAAAATTAATTTTCACATAGACAGATTTACCGTATGTGACAGTTGGAAAACTTCAACACTTGAATGGACATGAAACTCTCTGGTTTGAAGCATCAAGACAAAAGATGAACTTCTGCAACCCAGAAAAAATGTAAAAATGTTAGCTTTGTACGTTTCTGCAAAGCAAGGATACTTTACATTTGCACATTATTATGTTGCGGATACATTGAAACTTTACATTTTAACATGTGGTTAGGTTTAGGCACAAAAACCACTTGGTTATAGTTAGGAAAGGATCATGTTTTGCCTTAAAATACCCAGTCTGAGGGGCACAATCCTGGCTGCAAAAGCAGTAGTGCCTTCGTAAAAAGCAACTGCTTTTCATGCCTAAAAAAAACGCTGGAAAAAACAGCGTCAGGTAGCTACAAAATACCCATGTTTGGTGTCTTAAAGGCACTGAACACACAGCAATGACTTATGAAATCACAAGCAGTTTTGTTGTTTGTTGGTCTCAAACAGCAGTCTGCAGCTTGGCAGGCATCTAACCTAAGTGACACACCATCCACCATCCCCTCAACCTCAAGATGACAAAGTCAGTTTATCTACTACACTTTAAAAACACTGATACGATACATAAGAACGGTGCAAATGTAACATACTAGTGGTTCGCAGAAACGTACAATGACAACATTTTCTTCTGGTGACAATGCGTTAAAACATGGTATGAAAGACAAGTCTGGATAAATAAAAACCTGAACCATGTTTTCTTTTCTGCATTACGTCTGTATGAATGGTTACCCATGATGCATGGTGTGGTGCATGTATGCGTGGTTATACAGTTGGATGACTCCTGCATGAAAGGATGGACCATTAACAATGAAAACTACTGAGGTCCAAAATGTGGATATGGACAGGTTTCTGGTGTATAACAAAACACCTGGCGTGCAAATCAAACAAATTTGGGCTGACTGTCTGAACATGGAGCCTTTCACTTCTTATCCCGTTAGCAGTGGAGAACAGTAAGTAGTGGTGACAAAACAAAGGTAGGTGTACTACGAAGCTTTGTTCACCTCTCCTTGGCTGCTCGTCCCTGTCAGGTTGCATTATGGCCAGCAGGTCGGCTGTTAAAGGTGGCGACAGCCTGCAGAGAGCTTCAGGTTTAGTCTGTCAGCGGCACAGGAGATTTAACCTGCAGCTGTAATCACTACTGACATCAACAGCAGCTTCTTCCTGCTTCCTGCTGTGTGCCTGACTGTGTGAAGGGGACAGTTCCCACCCATCATTGTACTGGTTTTTCCCCAGGGACATTGTTGGATAAGTTTGGGGGCTCTTGATAAATTGAAGTAAATGAGGGGCATATTTAATACTGTATCAAAACATCCATTTACAGATTTTGACACAACTCATGCAGTAAAATGAAAGTGCTCAGTGTGTGTTTTAAAAAGTAAGGGTTCAGCAAAAATGCAGGTGTTTTGGAGGCACTGAGCATACGACTGGATAAATAAGAATTGGATTATGCTGTATGAGATGCAAAAGAGTTTGTAAATGGATGTTTTGAAATAGTTTTGCTATTGGTAAAAGTGGTCTGTTTATTTCAATCCATCAAGAATTCTCCCCAGCAACAGCTGATCACCAACAATCAGATGTCGATGCTGTTTGACACAGTGCTGAAGGACTGTATCTTTGAGCCACTTACCTACTTCTTAGCTCTCTCTGCCCAGTTGGCACAAAACAAAGCAAAATGTGACCTCATCCCTACTCTTCATATTTTGCAGGTAACATCTGACATTGAGCCATTGATCTCACACAGACAGTGAAAAGGCTCGACTCTGTCATGAAACTTGTTGTTAACCATTGGGCAACATTAGGGTGACCATATTTTGATTTCCAAAAAAGAGGACACTCGACCGGCCACGACATAGCCTACTTAAATGATACTCGCAGTTTACTCAAAGATGCCTTATCATTTTAATATATTTAAAATTTATAT